CTTTGGTTACTGATTGTTTGCACTATAAGGCCTGTTTATAATTTATCTGCAGACGTTCAGTCGCTGACCTACATACAACCTGGAACTATCAGACAACAGACACCAAATGATTATTTATCAGAAGTTGTGAAATCTAAAGTCTGGCTGGATTAACTTTGCCCTGTCATCATAACACATATCTGCTGTAGGGGGTAATTTTGAGTTGATCTATTTAACTTCTCACCAGATCATATGATTTAGAGTCTTTATCTGTGTTTTTCTGAAGTTTTCTAAAGCGCAGAACTTATTTTCTGTTTTGTTTTTCTCTTTACTCCCTGTTCTCGAGGATTTCATCAAGGTGTGTGAACCCTGCGTTACCAGTTGGCCCAGTTTCATGTCGTTTATCTAGTTTCTTATTGTTTATCTGACAAGTTGAACCTAAAAGCAGGGGGTGGGTGGGGTTGGGGTGTCCCAGCTCTCTTACAACAGAGACATGAAAAACGTATAGCGGCCACACCCACGTAAGCCTGATAAAAGTCATTTTGTTGGGTGGTAGCAGCCGTGCTGAACGCAAGGTGGGGGGTGAGGGGGGTCACGAGTGTAATGTACACAAGGATTATATACCTGGGACTGAGAGAGGGAAGGAGACAAAGAGAGAAAAGCTGATAGGAGACAGAGGACAAATAGAGACACAACAAGGAGTGAAAAAAGAAAGCCGATAGAGAGAGGTCAATAAAGACGGATATATAGCGCGTATGTAGGACTAACAAAGCTGAACAGCGAGGGGCGTGGTGCGATAGAGGTGCTGCCCGGTTGGAAAAAAATCCCTATTGGCTGCTTTTTGTGTTACACTTTACATATACTGTTACAACATCGACGCCAACAGCCAACTTTGTTCTGCTCAGTCCACAGCGATCCCACTTCTGCAGCTCCTCTACGAATTGGCCTTTTGACCACTTTATATCGACTGTTACAGTGGCAGGGCTCTAAATAGATTGCCTGATTTATATTTCCTAATAATGATCCTTCCTTTAACCTGTTACTGGGTGCAGCCTTTCATCCCTTTCAAAGTTCTGCATTAGGTTATTCCAATCTGGACTAGCAGCCGCCCTCCCTACCCTGATAGATTCATATGAGGGTCGGTGGTGGGGGGATGAAAGGCCATCAGAGTTCTCTTTAAGATGTTATGGTAATTTTGAATCTAAAAAAATATTTCCAGTATCTTTAGATGAGAAATAGTCCCACAGCATCACCAATTCTCTGCTGTGCTTCACAGTGGGCATGTGGTGTTTTTCCACTAAGCTGTCCCAGCTGTCCCCTCCAGACCCATCTGGAGCCTCTAATTAGCTGCCATTCCAATTGAAGTCCTGATACAGTTTAGCAAACTATAAACTATATTTTTTGCATCACTTCCAAAGTCTTTTGCCGTAGATATTAAAGAGCCTAATATGTATCTCTTAAGGTCTTCAGCAGAGATTTATGGGAATTGTGTTTATTTCCTTTTGCGTCTTGCTCTCCTAATTGAGAGACAAACCTGAGCAGTCATCCAGCTCTGTGTAATGTTATATTTGACCCTGATTAAACAAAATCATGGAATACTAATTAGAGGCTCCCTGACAATATTAAATTGCCCCAAATGTCAGATGAAGCCATAAAATGATGCTGCAATAGAAAGGGATTAATTTCAAGGCCTTCATATCTTTACTAGGAGAGCCAACATTTTCCTCCTTTCCTTGTAGGTGATCTCTCTGTTGAACTGTTTATTCACGTATCTGATCATTTTCTGTAGCAGCTTCCTTCTGTGAGGGGCTGCTGGAGCGCTTCCCCTGCTGTCACAGTATTGGTTGTAATATTTTTGGACTGTCATGTGATGCTGGTAACCTCAACAACACAATGGCGCCCCACACTGGGTCTTGCACACGCATTTTATAATTACTGTTTTTGCTCAACGACTCCTGTCATTTCTCATATAAATAACACCAGTTTAAAAGCTCTAGATAAAGTGTGTCAGCATCTGATGTAATGTGGATCTCTGCAGCTAAAGACCCACTTTCTATAGAAGTTATGGAGAAAAAAAGGACAAAACTAGAGGCATTTGGATGGAGTGCACTCTGCCCAAGCCTGTTAACCCTGACTGAGACCTGAAACTTGATATGCTTGAGTAAGAATGCTAGTGAGCGTTAGCACGATTCACTCTTTGCAAAATGAAGCAGCCTTAATGGGTGGCCGAGGAACCAGCCCCGCTGATCAACACGCTGCTTGTCAGATAGTTTCAAAATCACTGCGGACAACAGTCGTCACATGGGAATCACACCTTTTACTGTTAACAATAACTGGCTTGTTTTCAGGCTCACGGTCCCTAGAATATTTAAGATGTTTGTATTTCTTATCCTGTGTCACTACATCCTGTGGATTAGAGGGAGTGGGCTCCAACAAAACCCCAGAGCAAATATTTATTGGTGTGATTAAGAGAGAGAGAGAGAAGAGGGAAAGGTAACAAATGTAGTAACATGGGGGATGGGAGCTCATTTCTAAGATTTATGGCACGGCACTTCACAAAATGACTGCATCCTGTAATTAAAACACCCCCCCCTCCAAACACACACATACAAACACACAGGCTTGTACATTAGGTGGGCTCCCACCCGCCCCCACCGCCACGTCCACTTTAACCCACCTCGGTCTCACAGCCCCCGTTCCTCTTGACCACTAGATAAAAAGAACCTACGGACGCCTGGCGTCACTAATGAGGGCTGAACGTGACTTTCAGGGGCAAACCTAGTGGTAGGAAACCACGGCTGTCGCCGTCGGATGACAGTCGTTTCATTTTCATTCTCTCTGAGAAAGTCATTTTAGAAAATGTCAAGTAATTGTCTTTGCAGGACAGACAAACTCATTTTCCTTGGATAAATTTCACTGAAGTATCAAATAAGAAGGAAGATGAGGCACATGGACCCACTTTATTAATTCTTTTTGCATAAGTAAATAAATTGATTTAGTATAATTTAGAGCTTAATTGGGTTGAATTTGATTTTTTTTTTGCATCTGTCAATCAAACTAACGACCTTTACATTATTTACCTTTGATCTATTGTTAATAACTAAATCTGAAAGGTAGAAACAACCAATTTTTCTAAGTCACTGATGTTTTCCATTTGTTTATTCTCAATCAAATGTTGTCCACTCTCTACATGCCTCCTGATGACCTACTTTAAAGTAAAATCCAACAAGAGCTATTCTACTATCATGCAAAACAGATTAAAGCTTTTGTCCTTTTCGCCTGTTTGTGTCGGCGCCGAGCTGAGGTGAGTGATTTCCTGAAGTGATATCAAACGCTCTCGGTTGGAAAGTGCATCATGAGGCTTCGCAGTGGCTTTGCTGCTCGCTGTGGGTTGTGCTGATGCCTGTCTAGTAATAATATGCTCAGGTTTTATTTTCTGTGGTTTTGTACGGTGGTGCTCAGTTGCACATTGTGTTTTCACAACCGGTTATTTTCAATACAACATTATGAAACTGTGTGACCTTGCTCAGACACTCGCGTGATATTGTTGGTGCTAATTACCCGGTGCAGAGCCGTCGCTAAAATCTTGGCTGAAGCCTGAGGATAGTCACACTTTTGCATGGTTAGTGTTTGCCTTGAGTTTGAGCGCGATGGATTGAATGAACTCTAACATGATATTTCACTATCAATGCAAATGGAAAAAAACAACCACAGGCTCAATGGGCCCACTGTACTTCCCCCAGTGTGGGCGCCTCACTTTTACTGCTCACTTTCGTTGAACTTTCCGGAGCCCAGGGCCCCGCCGGCAGCTGGACCCACATCAGGTTCTCATCAACTAACACTGGTCCACAGCATTTCTTAATTTTCCATCTCAAACTCAATCCCATTTTATATTCCAAATTTATCTTATTCTTATTTTGATATCTTTGTTGAAATGCATTTATCCTCATTTTTACCAATCTAACAACGGTTTTGCTTTGGACTACTGAACTCACGCAAAAGTGCATAAGGTAATAGTTGCCACAGAACCAAAGTAGGGATAAAAAAAAGTCCACAGCTAAGATCTGAGTTCATAAGGTAGCTTATGGACTTCAAACCTGTCTCCCAACGATTTAAAAAAAAAACCTCTAAGACTAAAATTCCGGTTGCACTCAAGTGAAGCATTTCTATTTTTGCTCCAGTTCTGACAGACCGTGTTATTGTTATGCTCACTGGTGTCTCCACTGTGATCACTCCAAACACCTCAGTCATCAGTATGCTTTATATCAGGGAGACCTTCTCCTAACAGTCTTTCTCTCTGATTTTGTATAATCTGTTTTTCATTCATAAGGATCCAACTGCATTATGCTTTTGGAGCGATCAGCCAGTTCAGTTGCACTTTGGTTACTCACAACACGTTAGCTGACGTGTGAATGGAAAGGAGGTCAAACTGCAGTCTTCATTACGGTAATAGATATGCTGCATTTGAAATATATCACAAATATATATTTCTTGTCTGATATTCACAAACAGCTACAGTTCTCTCTATTTTCTCTGTTTGTTACTCTTTCTGAGCAGATAGTTCATATATTTTTCACAGATTTGAATCAACAGAACGATTCATAATCTAGGATTTGAGAGATTGACAGTCCTCCAGATGCTACCTGTACAACCACAGTGCCATCGTCTGTAAACAGCATTGCCTTTTAGTTTTAGTTGCTGTGGCCTCTATGTATTTTTGTTTCAATAAAAGAGTTTTTAAATGTGTTGACTCCTTTGCAAAAAACTATTAAAAGACTGGCATAGATTTAATCGTGTTTCAATATTTGTATTTCTTCTGCCTCTACAATCCCTCGATAGGTTCCCTTAAATAATGTTCTCTCCGTCATAAAAGCATGACTCTGATGGTCAAAGTAAAAGAGCTGGAAATAGATTATGTGATAGTAGGACACTCTGTTCTCTGTAATCTAATGTTTTATGACTTTTGACATAAAAAAGTCCAAGCTGTTGCTTGATCGTGTCTCTCCTCTCTGTTTCCACAGCTTTACGAGCTGGATGGAGACCCCAAAAGGAAAGAGTTTCTCGACGACCTCTTCAGTTTCATGCAAAAAAGAGGTACGTAGCTTACAGCGTATACAGTTCAAAGGTATGGCATGTGCCACGCACAGCCTCTGATTATTACATATAGAGGATGATCACCCTCCCTTGTCTCTCTCTGATGTATAACTCAGCAACGTCTTCTCGTCTTTCACATGGCTGGGTGTGGTCTTCATTCATTTCAGAGACGATTGTTTCAACTAGTCGTAACTGTATGAAGTCAAAGAAAAGGGTGGCTAGCTTATCCAATTCTGAGCACTACTTTAATGCCTCCACCTTCCTTGTTTTGACAGTTTACCTTCTTGTTTCTGTGTCTTTTGTTGTGTTGGGTATTTAAAATCTAACCAGCCGTTTGGTAATGCTCCGCAGAGGCTCTGCTGGTGTCACAGGTGGGCTCAGGGCTGGTGTTATCACATGGAGGGGGGGTGGGGGGTACATACGGCTGACATGGGAGACAAAAGACATGTGGTCACAACTGAACAACCAGAACAAGCTATTTACAGTTTCACCCACTGCTGGTGGGTGGGTCTGCCAAGTCTGCTCTTGGAATCTGTGAGCGCCATCTGTAGGCCTCAACGATAACTGAGACCTTATTTCTGATATATATATATATATATATATATATATATATATATATATATATATATATATATATATATATATATATCAGAGGAAGGTTAATAATGGAAGCAGTCTTGATTGCTGTGAGTGAAGTTTTTTTTATACTTTTATAGTTGAGTAAATGTAGCAGGCCTATATCAATGAGAGGAGGTATGTCTTTATCACCTATATAAGGCTGTGTCCTTTTTTAAAGCCCTTGCCTTTCAATGCAGGACAAATAAATAATGCTGATTGGTCAGTTGCTGACTGGCCTCTAGAATTGAATGACAGGTGGCGTCACGTCAATTAAGCAAGGCAAATGCTGCTAGATGTAGGCCAGCATATTACAGGTCCGCTAGAAATTGTAAGGCCAAGATGGTTCTGTGGTCCAAAACCAAGGTTAGGGTATCCTATGCTGATGTCACAGTTGGTCATGAGGGAGGATGCTGTCAGGGAAAAGTTTAATTTTTCACGCAAAATGGAAAAGACTGGAATTTGATTTACAAATTTTCCAGTTCTTAAAAATTATGTCAATTATTTGCATTTCCAAACTTACTCCCTGCTGCTTAAGGCCCATCCATCCATCCATCCATCCATCCATCCATCCATCCATCCATCCATCCATCCATCCATCCATCCATCCATCCATCCATCC